TCTCTGGATAATGGATCGAATAGACAACGTATTTGTGTATCCGGCAAATTTGAATGTTGATCAACTCAAAGAAGCACTTGATCGCGCCCTCTGTTTGTGGCCGCTTATTGCCGGTCGTTTTCTCTTACTAGACGGTGATCGCTATGTTATTGAAATGTCTGACAATTCCATTCCATTGTCATTAGTCGAGAATACTGATCTACCTAAATGGCCATTCGATTCCAAAGTGGTAGTTGATCTACGTTATCATACATTGGAACCGTTTGTCGACGAAGTTCCAATCCACAAACTACTGCGTGGTTCGTCGGAAGAGCCCCTAATTCGACTAAAATTGACGCGTCTCGTACAAAGTGGTGAATGTATTTTGGGTATTAGTTGGGCACATGTTTTGGGCGATGCTATGTCTTGTTTGTGTTTCTTAACGACAGTTTCAAGAATATATCAACGATTGAAGCCACTCGAACCATTCCCAATATTTGAACGACGTCTCTGGGATGACAGTAAAGCGAATCAGTCTCTATTGAACGTGATGAAGCCGTTACGCGACGGTGGACCAGCCGAACAGATGTTTCAAGCGATTATGGATGAGCAAATGACCCATGATCAACTGAATTTACACTTTACAGGTGAACAGCTCATAAAATTACGAATGCTAGCAGGAGATAATTGTGTAACCATTCAAGATGCACTGACTGCCTACATCATTCGCACATTGAATGTGCATTGTTTTCAAGATGATGATCATCATCGGATCTTACGCACTGACACTGCTGTGAACTTTCGCGGTGTTGCCGATTCAATTGCACCACAAGGTCTAATTGCCAATGCTGTACTCATGATGTTATCGGATGATTTTGACGACCCGTATTCGCTGGAGAACATTGCCAAGACTATTCGTCGGTCGATTATTAAATCCCGTGATGCTAACTTTCTGGAAACTTGGTTGGCGACCGCCGATAGATTAATGCGAAGGATGGCACGAGAGGAACGAATGGCTAATATTTGTCACTCTGCGAATGAGATTGTTGTCAACTCAAATTTGAGATATGATTGGGCAAATCTAGTTGATTTTGGTCACACAGATCAGTGTCGTTTCCATACAGTCTGGACGGGTGTACTGTATCTTCGAGTATTTCACCTGAATCCAGTGTTCGATAGCACCCGATGGATTACACAAGATCGTAATGGGGCAGAAGTTGCCTTTCTACTTGAAACGAAGGCGAAAGAGAAATTTATGAATGCATGGAAAAATGATGTCAATAATAATTTTGCCGATGTAGATAAATAGAAATGTATCATAGACCATAACAGCAAAAATCCTCTCCGTTTTAGAAGACATTTCTTCTCCTATAGTGTTTTTGGGTGTTACATTTACAGGTTCTTGTAATGTGTGGAGCATTGTAATAAAGTTCTACAATTTTATCTTTTTCCATTGTCTACTTTGCATAATCTTGTTTTAATCAGTTTCGCAACATTATTTTTCTCATCTGTTCAGAAAATATCGATCCTACAGTTCATAATAGAGGCTTCTTAACATCAGATATTTGACGCTCTTTTCGTATCCCGAAAAGACTTTTTAACAACACACTTTCTCACTAATCATCGCTACGTTTCCTGAAGAAAGGAGTGTGAGTGTGTATTTTCTGTTTACCCAAACGAACTTCCTCACATCCAAACCCCAACTCTTTTGTGGAAATTCGATATAACTAATCTGTATAAAATCTTACCGCAAGAAGAGTCATTGACTATCTTGACTTACTTAGGGCATACCAAAAGTCTTGACGGAGGTATATCAATTTCTTATAGAATGCCTGAAGAACTTTTCTTTTTATGTAGACTAATGGTAAAAACAAAGCTCTACATTTCTACACTATTTGATCATTATTCATCTAATATCATAATAATAAAATTTCCATTAGACTTGTTTAGCTATGCTATGTAACAATAACATTAGTCAATAATGTCTTCGATGTGGGTGTAGCTATGGGTGTCGGCGCGGGTGTGGGTGGTGGATGTGAAGGCAGGTGTGAGTGTGGGCTCTGTGTATGAGCATAACACATAGTCACATCTACACTCACGCTCAACCGCATATACATCCACACCCACATTGAAGCCAATATTGGCTGATGTTATTGTTACATAGCATAGCTAAACAAGTCTAATGGAAATTTTATTATTATGATATTAGATGAATAGTGATCAAATAGTGTAGAAATGTAGAGCTTTGTTTTTACTATCAGCCTATATAAAAATAAATGTTCTTCAAGCATTCTATAAGAAATTGATATACCTCCGTCAAGACTCTTGGTATGCCCTAAGTAGCATCAAAAGAGATGTTTGGACGGTAAGATTTCTAACAAAACAATGAAATATGATACTTATTTTCTTTATATGCACTGGATACATCGATGACATCGTTTTTACCTCAAATGAGTCAATATAAACAATCGAAAAAATGTTATAAAAAGTCAATAGTATTCACTTTTGAATAAAATCTTATTCAAAAGTAAAACATTTTGGATGGGCTTCGCAAGAAAACCAACAGTTCTTATGATTCGTCATAGAAACAACGACTACTCGACGAGATCTGACTTATCGTGGATTCTATAATAGTCGAAATGTTGTTCTAATTCTAGAAATTTCTGATTTGCCTTATAATGTTACTAGTAAAGAGGCAAAAGTTTGCAAAATAAAAGATGTATTTTCTATACATTTTCACTCTTATATTACGGTTTATTAAAAACACTCGAAAAAATCAAAACACGTTATAAACGCGTCAATGCATCGATGACAGCAGCGTGCACGTTCGACCAGTCTAGCTGCATCCAACCCTTGTCACTTAGTAGTGTAGCTGAACGTACGATAGTTTGTACATCATCGACGGTGAGAGTGACTTGTTTCTCGCGAAGGGCGACAACAAGATGATTGTAGAGAGCTCTCGCGTGAAGAATGTGCCTGAGAATCTTCCAGCCTAGTTGCCGATTTCCCTTGAGCCAGAATTTCTCTGCTTTCTCTAAATCCTTGACTTGTCGTGCTTCCAGCCACGTCTTTATAGCGTCTGGATCCACTAGCAGATTTCCAATATCAAAAGCGCACTGCAGCATGTCTTCTTTGCGCATTAGAGCACAGATAACCTCAATAATGGATCCCTGCTTCACTCGAGCTGTGAACTCTTGTCGATCAAGCAGTGTGATGTCATATTGAGACTTGTGAAGGCTAGTGAGCTGCGCTGATGGCACATCTCCCACGACTAGAAGATCCCAATCGCTTGTGACAGTGTTTGTTCCCCATAGGCGAGATCCTATCAGATAGACGTTATAGCTTTCTGGATGGGGCAGGTGAAGAGATTTGAATAGATGTGCTGGTAGACTTGTATGTGTCA